ACACTTACAGGTTGGTTCCATAGAAGGTCAGTGAGTCGTAAATGTATCAGCAAGCCTCTGAAACCATTACAGTTGGACACATTTGGCTGCCTTTTATCGGAAACGCATAAAGAGCCTATATCATGGAAAACTGTATGTAGTATGTAAACATATTTGAAATTTTTTATTTGAAAATTTAACAGTTTTATTCACTCCCTAGTCCTAACAGTCTATAAATGGAAACCAAGCTACAAATGCTGCCCATTTTGTGATATCCAGTGGCGAACACAGACTATTAGAGCTAGGCCTTCAATTTGAGCAATAAATGTCAAAACTTGGTCAAAACAAACCCACCTCTATGATGCTAATTTCTGCTAGCATCCTTCTGGGATTCTAGAGGTTTGTTAGCAGTATGCTAACGGTGATTCGCGTTTACATTTTTGGTTCTTCTAGATGAAACACATTTACTTTAAGCTTCTAAAAGACACTTCATGTTTTACTTGAGGCTTGTGACAGACATAGTAGCGTATATTTTACCTTGTAGCAGTTTCACAGTGACTCTTTCAGTAGAGAGGCCTGGTAAAAAGCTGCATTTGCTGTTTTCCGTTTCAAACAACCCACTGATTAGGCTGCCATTCAGTCAGTGCCATATTTGGGACTTCCAGAGTTACCTTTTTTTTTGGTCCCGCCTACTGGGAATCAAAAGGTGTTTGGTTGATTCCACCGAATCTGACACCTTAGGACCTCATAACCAAAAGGAATGAATGCTTAGGTAGAACAACCGCAGAAGCATTTGAAGAATTCAACCCTTTTGTTTCCATTCAGAACTAAATAAGATTACATCTGTTTCACTTCGCATAGTTTAAATACAAGCATAATTCTACTAAATAAATTACAGATATGTATTTTCAGTTTCCAGAACTCATTAGGCCTTCTCTGAAGGCCTTAAGGGTTCCCCTTTTGTGAAATCATGGTAGCACATTTTCATCTGACTGCCTGTTCCTACATCAGTTTAGCTGCCCATTCATGTTGAAGTGATAAGAAGTGTTGCTACTGCAGACAGTTTGTAGTTATTGGAGAGGAAGATGTGAGGTAGACATCGTGATGTTCCTGCCTGTTAGGAAGCAAATCTATTAGCCTTCTAAAGGGTCCAGGCATCTATAATAATATATAATAGCTCAAGTTTCTATCTACTGACATCCCAGAGGATTTCAGTCTAAGCTTGAAATGGTTTGTTCAGCATTTCAACCTGGACTGCTTTTTGAACAAGGTACAATACAGGGCACCAATCAATACAAAGCTCATTTCCATACAGTCAGTCTGAAAGACAGAGAAAGACAGTTTAATTCCTAGGGATTAGGGTTGGAAAATGATCATGTAGAAATGAATTACATGTTTTTTGGTCCGTAAAACAACAGTCCAATTTAAATTTCCAAATATTACAGGCAATTTGAATGTGATGATGACAGTACTGAGATTAAGAATATAGAGATAATAATAACTGACATTTGCATTCCAGCAGTTTACAAAGACAGCAAGTTTGTGCAAATGACATACAAACTATTCAAACTGTAGTACAACATAGAAACAAGCGGAGCCCAAATGATGAATCTATTTCATCAGTACCACATTTGCATGTAATTTACATCAAGCATGAACCAATTCACTGGTGTCAGACTCCAGTCCTCGCGGGCCAAAACACTGCAGACTTCAGCACACTGCCTCATTAAGCACAGCTGATTCAGCCCATCCGCTAATTAACAAGGCTTTCATGAACTGAATTCAGAGCGTCAGATGAGTCTAAACGCTAATCTCCACAGAACTTTGGCCTGGCAGGTCCCCAGGTTGACAGGCCTGCACTAATACGTGCATATGTTTTGTTAGGGAGCCAATAAAACTACGGCATTCATGAGCCAATGGCTTTGCTCGTAGGCGGAGTTTGAGGTCGAGTCAGTGAGTGCACTGCCCCCCTTACTGACCAAACTAACATTATGTGTTAACTTAAAGAATAAAATGTGAAATAAACAAAGCGTCTTTTTTAAGATGGCTTAATGATGTGACTGTGTAGTGTTAATATTTACTGAAATAACATTTAATGATGTATTACTGTAGTGTATGTGATGCTTCTGCACTAGCTGTGTTTTAAATTGTTTATTTTGTGGTGGAGTCAGTAGTATAAAACAAAAGCACAGTGTAGTGTGTCTTTAAATGGAACATGGAATAGTCGTAGCATTTGTTTACAACAGTAAAATCAGTACATTTACTTTTGTACTGGATTGCAATGCACACAAATTATTAGCATTACTGTTATTTTCTATTTTTTATTCTTATTACTGGTATTATAGATGATATTGATAACAAGTTTGGCTGGTTAACTGTAAATCAAGCATTTTTTTCAGGTTTTTGGTTTGTAAAACCAAATCAAAAGATGTCTGTTTCCCAAGTGCATTAATGAACCTGAACAAATGAATTATGAAACAGCTTCCAAGTAAGGCAATGCCACAGCTGTGGTCAGTGAGTGACCCCTCGTCCTGCTGGCTGACCTGTGAAGCCTGTCACAGGACTTTTCCATCACAGATTACCTCAGTCTTTATACATGCCATTATGTAATAAAAAGATAACCCCTTTAAGAGGCTAATGGACTTGCTTGGATGGTTTCTATTGCTGTGAGTTTAAAGGGCCAACATCATGAAAAATAAACGCATTTATTTCCTTTTCTAAATAAAAGAGTTTGATGTAGTATGTAGACTTTAATTGGTAAAACGTATTATTCACTCCCCAGTCCATACATGCAACTTGCCAAATCAGCCTGTTTTGAATTTGTTGCTTTTTATTATGTCACAAAAAACAACACATTTACATATATTTGCCTAATCAGCCTGGTTTAGCTCTCACATTGAAGTTATGAGGACTGTTTTAGCCTGGACTGCTTTTTGAATGAGAGCAACCAATCAAAACAGAGCTCATTTACATAAATTAGTCTTAAAGGCACAGTAACAAATGCGATCTGTTTGCGTCTAAGGAATAAAGAGGGTTTGGAAGAATCTCATGTCTTGATAAGATGAAAAAATAAAATGCAAGAAAAACGTAGAATATGAGTGTGGAATGAAACAGCACAGCTGAAATATGAACAATAGAGGAAGCTGTGATATTAACAAACCTTGTATCCAGCAAATTCATCCTTAATTAATTACCTAATTTCCATGGAAAGGTCAAATACTACATGCATTCAACACCAAAAGTTATTCAGGATAGAGTCTCTACACCAGGCTGTTTATCTCAGCTAGCTTCAGTTTATATGCTGTGTACCTAATCTGACAACAGTACAAACAACAACCTCTCCAGTGCTGATGAAAAGTATAAACACTAATGAAACATAGATGGGAAATGAGATTCTCGTATTGACATCTAACCAAACGGGTAAGATACAGTCTATAGCAGGAGATGCTATATTTTAAGAGCACTTCACCCACACTCAGCGCAAATGCCAGTGCTCTCACAAGCAGAGTGACAGTAGAGTGCTTAATTCTGTGTTCTCGTTGGATTCGTTTGATAATTTCATTCATTTCTCAATTCTGACTTGCTTTATCTACCATCCTGAATGAATCAATGAATGCAGATTTAACTAACTATCGGCATAAATTAAAATACTAGCTAAATCAGTTAGAGCTAAATTTCAATCAAGTCTGCTCAGAGTGCAGCGTTTGTGCTGCAGCGTGTTTTGTTTGAATAGTTGTTACTTATGACATTGTAATAATCAGTCTAAGCTAATGCTAGCTTATATTGGGTGTCCAGGCGTAGTGTCTGTTGGATGAAGATAAATCTACACACTCATAAAAGATGGTTCTTCAAGGGTTCTTTAGTAAAGGGAAAGGCTCTATACAGAACTCATGGTTGAATGGTTCTTTGCATGGTGAAATGGTTGTTCAGATTGATGGAGAGTGTGTTGTATGTGGCTCTATATAGCACTGAAAATGGGTTCTTCTATTGTTAAAAGCTTGACATAACAGTAGCAGAACCCTTTTGGTGCTATACAGAACCATTTTCTGAAAGCTTCTATATACATATACAACACATTCTCTATCAATCTGAATAACCATTTAACCAAGAACCATTGCTAAATAGAATCTGAAGAGCCCTTGCAGAACCATTTTTTAAGTGTGTACATCTTTGCAGGCTGGATTTAAGGATAAATGTAAATATGTGACAGCTGTATGAAGGTTTTGGGCTGGAGAATTGAGACCCCTGGATTAGTGCCTCTAAACGCTACTTCACAAAAAGCACTTATAGATAGATTTTAAATAGGTTGGCTGATGCATTGTTCCTCCTGTTGTTTTACACATTGTTTTACACTGCAAAAATGATGTAGATGAAGATGAAAGCATGTTAAATTAAGTCAATAGAGCATATATATTTTTTATTTTAAGAATAATGTAAGATTACTGTTCCTATTTCTAGACATTTAGAGTAATTCTATGAGGAAAAATTGCCTAATACCACTGGCAGATCGTTTTGCTTGTTTAAAACATAACATTTTGCACAAGAAATAATGCTTGACACAAGAAAAGTGTTCACTAGATTAAATGAAATAATCTTATAACATTCTACTAGATAAAGAAGAGAAAATGTTTTGGTGCACGCAGGGTGTGGTAAGGCAAAATATGATAAAAGAAAACTAATTTCTTCAGATTAACTTCTATTTTACCATCATCAGCATTACATATAAATAAAATGGCTATATTTGTGTTGTAAACCCCATGACGCCTGGTTTCCATCACTGTAACGTTGTAAAGAAATGTGAGTTTCTCTACAATGAACCATTTAAAAGCAAAGCACAAAATTATTTGTTTACATCTCAACAATTAATTATGCAGAATTACGCAAATTGGTGAAATTCCCTTTAATAAAACTGCAAGTGGTCATCAACCAACATGCCATGCTGAAACTTGGATGCAGTCCACTTTGAAAACAAGCCAAAAAGCAATATACAACTTCAGAAATGTACCACTTGCACTGCTTACCTGAGAGATCAGAGGTTTTTGGAGACCTCCTTTGGCAGTGTGGAAAACTGTTGTGCTATCCGATGTCCTGTGGATTACGTTGCTCTTATCCCATTAAACAGAGAGCTTATCACAGTGTCAGTGAACTCTCCTGAGAACGATAAGCAAAAGCTTGAGAACAGCCCTCCACAGAACATGGGGCAAGAGGATGGGTGGGAGAAAGACCGAAAGAAAAGGAGGAGGGGCATTGGGTTAGGGACCAACGTTCTCCAAAACTACTTATCTTTCCCAAATCAATTAACCCGTTTTGCTTTGAAACCTTTGCAAATTAACCATCACTGTTTCCTCACTCAGTGGGGAACATGATGTGTATGATGCTATTAAACCTGCACTATGTAAGAATTTTGTAGCACTAAGTAACATAATGGAGTAAAAGGAAAAAAAACAGACTAAAATATTGTGCATGTAGACTGCTGTAGGTCATCTTGTAAAGCCTGACATAATATTTTTTGGGCGTTTGGGAAATATTCGGACCACATCGTACATCTTTGTGTAATAACTTCACAGGCACAGGCTCGAAAAGAAATTCCAGGTCAATGTTCAGGACTTAAATTCAAAATCAACATTAAAATGAAAACACAATCATTCATACACATCAGGGATGCACAACTTTGGTCCTGGAGGTCCAGTTTCCTGCACAGTTTGGTAGTTTCCCTACACAAATCCCTTTAAACCTGGCAATTAACAGAGTGTCTGAGCAAGTAAATCACAAAATTCTGCTGGACACTGGTCCTCCAGCACTAGAGGTGTGCACCCCTGGCTTCTCAAAAGACACGTTCTTCACTTTTGACTGAATTCTCTTTGAAAACTCTTTTAATGCGCTCGCAATCATCAGATTCATCAATTTGGGGAACGGGTCCACACATTTCCACCAGAGAGGTCTCTAAATCCCCATATCTTACATGGTGCAGCTTTAATCTATTGTTTGTCAGCACTGAAAAGGAGCAGAAGAAAGACTGGCAGTACTGACAAAAAGTGCTGTCTTAAATTTACTTAATTTACACATTAGAGCAACACAATTAGGGGTCCAAGCATGATTTGCCAGTAGAGGCCTTATGTACCAGAGTTTTAGAAAGGCTTATAGTTATTATGGTTGTACATAAAGGGGATCCCCCTTTGCCTGAATTAATTTTATTTACGTGGAGATTATGTTCATATTTTATTAAAGTAGATTCATTGTAATGTGTGGACACACATTATGTTAAGACAAAACAAGAATGAACTTACATAAAAAAATGAAACGAAGCCAAACAGCTGTCAGGAGGGAGTATTTAACAGTAATGGAAAGTAGAAGTTTGTGGGCTGAGAGAAGTCTCTTTTCCCACTGGACTGTGGTCACAGGGCTAACTTCCTATTCCACTGTCTTGACCATGATCTGTGGCCAAAAGTAAGTCACTAATTTTCCATAAACAACCAAGAAGAACTTCACAATCATGGACTTGGATATATTTTACATATATGACCCTTTTAGCGTGGATTTGTAGTATAATTTAGTATTTTAAAAATGATCATTAAGGATTTGTTAAGAAATTTTTTACATCTGTTAATTTATGAACATCTGATCACAACAAAACAGGCCTTTCGAAACAATACAAAGCAATAGAATCTAATTGTTATATGACAGTTAGTCATACTCATAAGATACTAAGTCATAACTGTGAGATAAGATTTCAGTATTTTCAGAGATCAAGTCCTAATTATGAGATACTCAGTTGTAATTATGAGATGGGCTCTCATTATTATGAGATAATAAATCGAAATGAGGCTCTGTGTCATAATTATGAGATGCTAAGTCAGAATTCTGGGAAACTTTCTTATTGTTATGACTTACTAAACAGCTATTTTGTTTTGTTTTTTCCAAAGCACAAATGGGCTACCATAGAACTTGTAACACTCTTTGTGTAGTAAAGTGAAGTTTCCAGTTTAAAATTCTGTGCTGCTGAGCTTGACTTAGTTGTTTTAGCTAGTCAAAACTTGGCAGATGGTAAACACCACCAAATAGGCTGCTGATTTAGTGATGCAAGTGGGAATAGTGGGCTGATGCCAATATCTGAAAATTTTCATGTCCATATCTACTGATTCCAATATATAAACATAAAATGTATAAATTGGGATTAAATCTACCTGGATTAGCATTACAGAGAAATATATCATTTATTTCTACAGGGCGATATCATCTATCTGATGCCAATATATACATTTTTAAATCAAACATATGCTGAAACTAACATGTTTCCAATATTATTGTGCATCGTTACATCATGCTAACATTGGCTTGAGAACACAGCAAAAAAAAAATCCAATGTATTCTAACCATGTGACTTCCAAAATGCACGCACAGTACATATCATTTGAAATAAATTCAGCCATTATGCCTCTTTAGGTTTAATGGGAATTGCACAAATATTATCCAATGCATCAGCAGTGAGTACAAAATAATGCATTTGTGGGCAGAGCCTATTTATTAATAAATCATCAATATCATACCATTTCTTAATCATACAGTTGTAAATATAGCCGTCACTCCATTCTGTAAACACTGACCCAAAATAGGCCCAACAAAAGTTATGTTTGTGTGTAATTGTAAATTCATTACCAAGAACCCTCCTGATACTGCAAGCCTTTTTTAAGCACATATGACCTTTTTAGGTCAATACACAGCTTTATTCCACTGCAGCTTGTGTCCAAATATGGCAACCCTCAGACGCTCCTCTTCTCTAAGTTACTCCGAGGTTAACGAGCTGATTGTTGCCGGTCATCCATATAAACACTGGAGCAGATTAAGAGAGGCCTACTCTTTGTGTTATGCGACTTGAGCTTGACATAATAGCCCAAAGTTGGATAACATAAACTGACTGGTGGACAGAGAAGAACAGAAGAGCTGATTCAGTCAGAAATACAGTAGAGCAGCTGCACAAAGTGTCACGTAACTTTAAAGTATAGCATCATTTTACTGATTTATAGACACAAGCCAACTGAAGTTCTTTCTGCAGCCTGCGTTGCTTTTAATGATGCAGTTGAAGGGTTCTGTGTACGGTAGTTGGTTCACTCTTGACAAAAAATAGACAGAATGCTTTCAAAGACCCCATATCTTACATTATTCTTGCATTTTATTTTTTCCTGAGGTCCACTTATAACGTCTGTGTGGATTTTATGTACCAAAAGCATTTTTGCATGGCCACTTTCCAATCCCTTAGAATTAACTTGGCTGTTAGTTATTACTGCGCTTTTGAGACCGGTATATGTAAATGACCTCTGTTCTGATTGGCTGCCCTGTATTTTACTTATAATATAGGTATAATGTATCTCACTTCAGTGTGAGTGGGCGGAGCTAACCTGCTGTAGGCAGATATACATAAATGTAACGGTTTCCTTGACACCACGAAAATAGTGAATTCAAAACAGGCTGATTTTGCACCTCAGCTGCCACACATGGACTGTTTGATGTTTATATACTCTTTTACTTAAAAAAGTGAAGATAATTACAGGATATGGGGCCTTTAATAATCTCAATATACATTCTTTTTTCCAGTTCCAATCGCAAGGCATCGTGGAAGTGTTGTCTGATGCCAAAAAGAAATACTCAGAAATACTGACTGATACTAACAAATAGCAGCCATAATATATGTGTCTATTGAATGTATATCAGAAAAAAATGACAATGTTGATAAAACCTGAGATATGCATTTTAAACACATTTTATTTAGATTAAATAATATACACAAATATGTTACTGCAATTATAACACCTTCAATAAGTACAGTGCACTTTTTCACTTTTTCACCCTATTGTAAAACTTTGCATTAATGTTATAACATTGTCAAATTTCAAACTGTGTGCAATACTGCATCAAATATACTTGTGTCTACATGTTGAACAAGGCTGAGTTAAATGCACTGGTTGGCCAAATGTAGCTAACAAGTAATGGAAACTCACCAACAGTGTAAAGGCAGCACTCAAAAAAGTAATCCATTACAAACAAGGCACAAAATACCTGAATGTCTCAAAATCAAAATTCTAGGGCACATGCGTCAGGCTCCAGTCCTTGCGGGCCAAAACTCTGCATATTTCAGCACACTGCCTCATCAAACACACCTGATTCAGCTCATCAGCTAATTAGCAAGACCTTCATGAACTGAATTCAGAGCGTTAGATTAGGGTAAATGTTAATCTCCACAGCACTTTGGCCCAGATGGTCCCCAGTTTGACATGCCTGTTCTAAGGTGTCCCTGAAAATAAATTATTATGATGTTAAGTTTATGTTCATTGCTCAGCCTGCTTCACTCACAATCGGTAATCGTCTGTCTTTAATATTCTTAACTAACTGGAGATGCAGCACTGGGTGGCGCTGTAGCAAATTGGTTCACCCAGTTGGGCCTTTATAGCCTACAACTGCAACTATGCCCGGGACACCTCTGAAAAACTTTACAATAAAACAACTGCCTCCAAACGAATTCTTTAAAAATGAAATGTAGTGCTTACAGAGCATATTAGCATGATTAGAGCTAGTGCTGTAGTGCTCGAGTCCAATCTTGGTCTCGAGTCCGGTCTCAAGACTGTAAATAATGGTCTCAGTTTTGTCTCGGTTTTAATATCATTTGCTTCCACAAAAGAATATGAACTACAAACAAATTTCAAAGTTTTCCCCTTTATAAGAATAAAAAAGCTTAATCTGATCTCAGTCTTGACTTGGACTTGTCTCTGGTCTTGACCACAACCCCACTGCTCCTTAATTAGCATCTTGCAAACTGCAGGCCTAAATTATCACACACTTACCTCAAACTGTGTTGAGTTCATATGTTATATGTTCATATGTTCATATTCTTAAATAGACTTGCTTATGTGGTTTCTGACTCTGTATGACACACTGCTGTCTATATAAATGAACAGTAGCATTAATTATCAAGCTAGAGCAAATGTGAATTGTGTCCATGCATTTGTACATTTGTATAATTTAGATTTTTCATCAAACTATCGCTTTTAATGTGAGTGAAGTATATAACAGCTCAAAGCTCCTGGCTCCTCAGTGCCGAACCAAACAGTGGACACTGAGAGCTGAGTTCATGAATGACAGACCGGCCACAGCGTCCATGGATGGCTCCCCAGCTGCAGATACCCTCAAGAGCCGATGGCTGTCATGTCCCAGCAGTGAAGCACAAACTGCTCCTAGATGTTGTTCTCAAAAATTCCTATAGATTTCATTATATTTTCATCCTGTGGAAAAAAAACAAGTCTCAATTATGAAGAGCATAATCATAAAAAAGTGTAGAATGCTGATTGGATTATGATTAATTTATTTACTTTTTGACAGGTATCAATAAATTCTTCAACAGTAACCACACCATCCTGGTTCTGGTCCATTTTCTGCAGAGGGAATATCATATCATCAAACAATATCATATTTGTCAGTGAAAATATCTGTTTATCTGTATGATATGTTTCAGTTTTGACACTATGAGTAGGAAAACATCTTTACTTGAAAGAAAAGCTCAACATGTTGCCTGGGCGCCTCCTCTTTCAGCAGTGGAGGAATATTCTTCCCCATTATATCATAAATAGCTTTCATTACATCCAGCATTTCCTGGAAGAGACAATACATTACTGAAACAAAAATGATTCATGAAACATAAAATGTACTTTTAAGGCCCACTGTTGCATTTGTAGACACACTTTTATACTTTAAGTCTACATGTTGCTGTATAGAAGTCATTTTGAATGTTACAGTTAGTGAAGCATCGATAATGGTTCAGATACCATACATAGTAACCTACTTAGCATTGAGTACTTGCTAGTGTAAATGAGTGCTATGTACTTTTTTAAGTTTAAGTTTTTTAAGTTTTTTAAGCAGATTTAAATCATGTACATTAGCTAGCTATGCTACGTTAATTACCTATAATTGAGTGGCGCTGCAGTGGAGAAGAGTGCATTTTGTTCCATGCCAGAAAAATGCTACCATACAGCTGTAGGTAAAATATGTTTCATAGTTTTGATCCTCATCTGTCTCTTTAAATAACAGTAGCACAGCAACAGCAGGAATCACACATCTTGTTGGATTCTTTTGTTTGACTGGTTGAGCTGTAGTTGAATGTGCTCTAAAGCCTTGCACTTCGTGATTTTAGAAACCTTGTACATTTAGAAACTGTACATTTGAATAGACCGTCATGTACGGACAAAGCCTGCTGTACAACACACAATGTTTATATCTCACTACTGTATTCAGTCAAACAGAATAAAGTCGGCATGTATGGAATTTGGTAGCAAATGTCGACTTTTTCACCTCTGTGTCGTTGTGTTTCGCCAATATGGGGATATAATAATATGATATAATATGATTTTACATAGCTTATGCTGGGTATCCAGCTACAGTGTATGGTGGGAGATACAAATCTACCTGTCAGACAGGGCCGCCAGAACCATAAAGACAGGCGGGCATTAGACCCACCACTCTTCAAAGTACTGGAGCAACAACCCACCACTTTCTGATTGAGGTCAAGATGCTCACATCACAAAGAAAATCTCTGCTACCTCCAAACTGCATGGAATGCTGACTTATAGACATAAAACAGAAACTTTAGTTTCTGTGGGTGTGGACGAATGAACATTCCACCCGTATTCAGGTCCGCACCAATGTAATGAATGGTGGTCTGACAAAGTCGTGGGTCTTGGTCTGCTTACAAGTTCGCCTGGGAAACATGTTTTTATGATCCACACCAAACAAGGGAATTCAACACCAGAGCACATCAGTGCTATACTGCCTGTTAGAACACTTTACTTTTTACAAACACTCATCGTTGTTGCAGCACAAGCTGCTGTTAATAACAGCAGACAAGCAATAAAATAACAGCAAATATATGCTTTTATGCAAATATATGATTTTGGCACATGGACTGCTAAACATATTTTCGGCCAAGCACCAGTGATCTGATTGGATAGATTCAAATTTGTAAACCAATCACAAAAAAGCAGATATCAAGTAAGGTTTATTATTGTCGCTTTCACATTGATGACAAGCCTCTCAGAATTATGGGTAAATAGTAGATGTGTGACAGGCTAAATTAGGCTGTATATGAGGCTATGCTCAGGCCGGTGGTCTGAGACCCCTGTATAGGAGAGCTAGAAACCACATATGCAAGTTTATGAGAGAATTCTTAAGAACTCAGTTAGACTTTGCACAGCATTGGTGAGATAGAAGCTTCCTTTAATTAGCCTTAGCTCCAGTGCAAATATGTTTTGGATGACTACATTTGGAGTAAGAGGGAAACTGTGTAAATATGATTTTTCGCCAAGTTGTTCTTTCAATCAAATTCAAAGACAGACCTCTTTACTGATGTGTCCGTCTTTGTTGAGGTCATACAGATTGAAGGCCCAGCACAGCTTTTCCTCGGCAGAGCCTCGCAGCAGAACCGACAGGCCTCTTACGAACTCCTGCAGAGTTCACAACAGTGTGTACTGCAGAGTATGCTTTACATAATATACAGATCATCACTCCTTCTGGTTTGTACTGCTAAGAAAATCCAAAAAACAGTAGCTTCCTTTCACAAATACTTACCTCAAAAATCACTATGCCATTCTGATCTGTATCAAATGCACTGAAGAGAAAATGAGCATATTTTGAAACATCTGAAACAAAAATTCCATATTAGGAGTTGTTCTAATAGGACATTATCATTAATCAACATTTACTCACAATATTAAAATATTTAATATAATATTAAAATAAATATTAAAGTTATATGCATATATGCAGACAAATGTATGTAATTCTGAAAATATTAAACTTGGTTACATACAAAACAAAAGTTCTTCTGCAGTTTTTGGTACTGTGAGGTAGCGTTAAGGCATGCTGTAACTGAGTGTTTCTACTGCTGACACTCCAGTGTCAGTTTTTAGGATTTTTTAGAAAATGAACCTCAACAAAAATTTATTTGAGGTATAAGGGTCTGTAATACAAATAAGGGGTTATACAGAATAACATACAGCATAATATTTTAATCTTTTTTGTCCTTATAGTCAATTTAATCTAACATTTTTAACAAATTTGTCTTTATGCTGAATTTAATCTGAATTGAATTTGTCTTCATAGAAAATTTTGAAACAAAACAGAATTTTTCTTCACAGCAAATTTGAAATAAATCTGTCTCTGTAGCGAATTATATAAGAATTAAATTTGTCTTTACGGCGGACGTCATTAAAATAGGTTTATTTATCTAAAAAAAAACTTTATTCTGGGACATTTGGTAAGGTGAGGTGTTGTGGTAAGGACAAATAAATGTGGCCCTGACATAGTTATAGAAAATACATGGCTGATCAACAATATTTGTTTAAATTATTTGAATTAACATGTATACAGTGATGTTCCAGTTGAAAAGACATCATTTTGTAATTAACATTTCTTGAAGCATTTGAAGACACTTAATATATTACATTCATTTATTGCATTTAGCAACTAACATTTTAACTCTGAAAATGTTTTATGACAAAATATTTTATGTGCTTTAAGCTGAAAATGTGAACATTTGTTCAAAAATCCACTGCCAGGACCTTAAAGTGCCTGTAGTTGCAGAAACACTCAACTGCACCCTCTGCTGGTCAGAAAAGTCAAATTTGCAGATTTGACCACAAGAGGTCACTGTTTGCACCAAACCAATTTTTCAAAACACAAAAAAGTTCCAAATGTTTCAATGTCTAATATTCTATAATGTCAGTTGATTAAAACCACACACAAACACTACTATTATTTTAAATAAATATGCAGAAAAATATTGTTTATAAAAAACAGATTAAAATATAAATATTCACCTCCACCAGGGAAGAACTGAGCATAGATGGTTTTGAATGTATCCTCATTAACAAGACCGCTGGGACACTCCTGAGCAAAACAAACACATTTTAACATTTCAATACAAAATGAGGATGTAGTAGCTATAAAAGTAATAGTAAAGGTAACAGGTGCTCACGCTTTTGAAACCCCTGTAGAGAATCTGGAGCTCTCTCTTGGTGAAGCGGCTCTGATTGAGTAATCGCTCCAAATCAACAGGACGGCGACGGCGCACCACGGTCCTGTCCTGCTCCTCATCTTCATTATCTATGACACAGTAACAGAGATCATCACAACCAAGCCATACATCAATGTCACTGTTAATCCCTTAAAATCCCAGGCTTAGTGCATACTAAGCATACTATGCTTAGTATTCAGTAACTATAGTAACTACTGTTCTTAGGTTATAAGTATGTAACAAAACTTTGGGTCAGCTGATGGGCTCTGGTTCTTTAAGGGGTTAAATCAAATACCTTTTCATTAATTTTTATAATTTTATCAATGCATAGCGTGATAAAAGGTGGTATTACATGTTACAGGTTTGGTTAAGGGTCATGTGAAATCAGCATAGGCCTCCAAAATGACCATCAATGTATGACTGAAGTGCATAAGTGCTCATAAACTGTTCATTATTTTTTACTGTGCAAATAAACAATAAATGTTTTTATTTCTCAAATGTTCAACAATCCTCCAAGGAATGACCCTGAATGACAAAGATCACATTCCTGGCAACCTGAGAGTGATACCATGTGACTCAGTGGTGTGCAGTGGTCACTCAACCAGAGTGTCCGCTTCAGCTACCTGCATTCTGAGGACAGAGCCTGAAACTAAGAGCACTGGCCTTGGCAGGTCCTATAATGCTAATTACACACACGCTTGCCTTTCGAATGAATAATGAAGAGAGGTTGACGTTTCCTGGTGGCTTTTTCTAACCCACGTGTGTTTATATTTCGAGAGGCTCGTGTGTAATGGCAGATGTAGTTGTGTATCTGAGAAGGTGTCCATGCATAGCAGATTTAAATAATTCAGCTTTTGTCTCAGTGTTGTTGGGCCTTGAGATACAAATACACTGTATCTAGTAGTTTTAAATAAACAGTGATATAACTTCAACAGCATAAATCAATCAATGTTTCTACATACTTAAACGATTATCCTGTAAACACAGTCATTTAGAGTGTGAAATGTTCTGTTCTAGAGAAACTTACCCAGTCAGAATTGTTCACATTGGTGGTGATAGGAGCCAGATGTCTGTATTTATCTAAAAACTCCCTTACAAATGCCTGAAGTCCGAGAGATTGCTTTACAAAAGTTTTGTGATAAGGTTTTGGCCTAGAACATATTCTTAAAAATGAATGATTTAAAGGTGGATGGATACATGCAGGGTGTTGTATCACATACAAGGCAAAATAGTCCCCAAAGAAAACTTATTTTTTCAGATTTACCATCACAAACCTTCCATGTAAGACTCAGTAGACTTGTGTAGGTTCACTGGTGGTTTTGGATAGTAAGTAAAATGGCTGTATTTGTGTTGTAGACATTGTGACCCCTGGTTCCTATTAACACCACTGTAAGGAAATCTGAGTCTGTAAATTTATCTAGAATGGTGCATTTCACAACAAACCACTATGAATGACTCTCAACCATTGAATTATGTAGAATTTTTGAAAAATGGTGGAATTCCCCTTTAAGACACTTGCCTTAAAATGCCTATAACCGGTTTTGAAAACTGATCATTATTCATTTTTGCATGGCATCATTTTCGAACATCTCTTTATCTGTTACAATCATACAGGCTGTTTTTGTTACTGTGCCTTTAAGACTGACATTTGTAAATGATCTCCGTTCTGATTGGCTGCTGTGTATTGTGCCTCATTTAAAGTCTGGGCTGAAACATTCTTTATAACCTCAACTGAAGTGGATGGGGCTAAATTGCTGTATGCTGAAAAGGAATAGCATGTATTCTTGAATGTGTTGTTTTTTGTGACATCACAAAAACAATGTGTTTGAAACAAGTTTGATTTCTTTTAAAACTATGGCCCATTGACTTGGGGAGTGAATGCTACATTTTGAAACCTGAAGCAATGTTTACATAGCATATGAAATTCTTATATCAAAAAGGCAATAAAAAAATTCCACGATATTTTAGGTTTTTCCCAGGCCAGATTTTAGCAACTCAGCATACCAGAGGGACCCTATACTTCAGTTCAACACATACGATTAAAAATTCACTGCACTGCTGGTTCAGGCCAGGTAACTAAAGACACCTTTGCTAAGCGGTGTCCCCTTCGGAGAGCATAATACCACTGCCCCAGTTTCTAATGACGCCACCACAGTGAACATCCAACACTCCAGTGGAGAAAAATAACACACCACATGGACTTTAGTTAATGTACTTCAAATTTTCACAATATTAGATATTTTACTGTATGTCTCTGGCCAAGCATGCCATGGATTTCAGTGGGAAAGTTTGCATCTTTTCCTCTTTAATATTGAGTTTTACTATGCAATGAATTCTAATATCTGACTTGAATGAGATATTAACTGGATATCAACACAAGACTAAGATTAATATCTCACTCAGCTTATTTCATGTTAATAAACCATGACGGTTTAAGTTATTGGAGGGTGTATTTTTTCATCAGTGCCTGAAATATTAATATTTTTTCTGGGTTTTATGTCAAATTTCTGCATTTATATAAAAGGCTGTAGCCTTGCCAGTGCTGCTGCTTTTGCCAAGCTTCAACCACAGTCACTTTGGGTGGGCCGGTAACAAAAGTGTGGGGGCCTAGGCTCACTGGGCCCAATCATAACACCGCCACCAATTACAGCTATAACTTACTCAATTTTTAAAGAAACATCATGAGATTAAATGGCTTCAACTTAAAACCTGTTTCAGATTGTCTTTCTGGGTTGCAGGGGGTGCTGGAGCCTATCCCAGTGGTCACTGGGCGGAAGGCATGAAACACTCTGGATAGGTCACCAGTACATCAAAGGGCAGTATAATAATAAGTATAAGTATGATATAAATAAATAATAAAACAGTAACTAGCTTGTGAAATTATAGCTAGGATCCATTCTGAACACATCAGATGGTGGTGGTGATATCAATTCCTCAGAAATGATATTATGAAGAACTACATGAAGTGTCTTCTTCAAGAGTCAGTGCCTCAGGTCTAGACACTGGACTTTAAATTATTTTGAGGAGATAAGCAGAAAAGCACCTATCTTATTTGATTTATTGTAGCAAACTGTTCTAAAAACCTACTAGCAACCTAGAAAATGACACCCATGCTATCATTACTGCTGTATCTCCTCACATAAAGCATCATTACTGCTGCATCTCCTCACATGAAGTGTCATTACAGCTGTATCTCCTCATATAAAGCATTCATTACTGCTGTATCTCCTCACATGAAGTGTCATTACAGCTGTATCTCCTCATATAAAGCATTCATTACAGCTGTATCTCCTCATATAAAGCATTCATTACTGCTGTATCTCATATGAAGTGTCATTGCTGCTGTATCTCCTCATATAAAGCATTCATTACTGCTGTATCTCCTCAAATGAAGTGCCATTTCTACTGTATCTCCTCACATGAAGCATCATTACTGCTGTATCTCCTCATATGAAGCATCATTACTGCTGTATCTCCTCATACAAAGCATCATTACTGCTGTATCTCCTCATGTGAAGCATCATTACTGCTGTATCTCCTCATATAAAGCATCATTACTGCTGTATATCTTTACATTAGGTGCTTCATCTTGACGTTGATCATGTATTAGGTTAGTGGTATTGGCTTGAGCATCAATAGTCCATATCGATCATCCATAAACCCTTTAAAAATTGGTTCTTCAAGGGTTCTTTGGTAAAGGCAATAGTTATATAGAACTGTGAGAGCACAAAGAAGCATTTGAATGCATAAATTGTTTTATCTTTACATGTATGAATGGTTGTCCTCTATGATGTAAAACCTACTGTTTATGGTTCTTGAAGAACCTCTTAAAAAGAGGCTCCACTGCTGCTGCAAGTCATAGAAACCTTTTTTGGTACTGAAACAGTTTTTGGCTTAGAGTCTATGGTCTATGTATATATGTATTGCACCTTATAAGAATCTATATGGGCCAATGTAGCCCCACTTCTAACATTGGTTGCCAACCAAGATCGGGCCAAAATAACATTGGCCCAACATGCTTTACCATTGTTATGCCGTATCTAATCAATATAACTGAGCCTACGTTGGCGTATACTTGCTGTCAGGGTAATCTGACAGTAAATGATTAAATGATTAATGCATTCCAAAACAACACTTATTTCTCCATACAGTGATTTCTCCAAGTAGTGCATTGAATTACTTGAAATGTGTGTAACATTTCATCACAAACATTTTGAGAAGCAGAATTTAACCCCCTATTACACACTTCTATAATCTAAGAATAGCTCTATTAGTTTGCATTGAAATTCCTGTAGTTACTGAATAATAAGTGCGGAAATGAACCTGCAATGTTAAATGTTTAAAAACCAAGTTATTGTCAATATTATTATTGAATTGTTATTTTTCAAAATAAGTTATTTTCAGTAGGGAATATAGGTGCAGACCAGTGTTCTGAATAAAATAACATTACCTGAGTTTAAAGTTCCTGTTACGAGTTGGTGGATATGCTGGATGAACTTCACCAGCTGCCGTTTACACCGTCGTCTCCTGCTCATGTTCAGTTTCAAAATGAAGTCTTCTTATTTACGGGCCAGGAATGTGTAGCCTGGAGCTTGTATATGTGTGTATGTGGGAGCGTGTGCTCATGGGTGGAGAGCGCTCAGTCACTCTTTCACTAATGAAAGTGGAGCCTACGGCCATATGAGCAGCCAGACACATCCCAGCAAGAGAGTCAGCACTGCTGCCACAATGTCAAAAGGTGGCAGTGTTTATGTTAAGTCAAAAATATATTTCATAAAGACCAGAATCTTACAGGTTAACGTTTCACACATTTCACCCTGACTCGATTACACATTACTTTCATCATCCAAGGCTTCATTCAGGGGCACACTGACCCACTCCTCCAACTCAGAGAGAGAAAGAAATCTTGTAAAAATAAAAGCAAATATACTCCACTGTAAAACAACAATAGGCCTCTACACCAGCCTTTCTTAAGAGGAAATCTCTTCTAAAAACCCACTTCTGCAGTTTTCATGAAGATTCTGACATTCACCAGTGTCTTCTTATTTAGGGATTTGTTCTTAGGTAAGAACAGAATCTACACACACTCAAAAGCACAAAGGTGAGAACTATTCTGCGTTAAGAACACCTTAATAATCTGACAGCCTTTTTCGTAGGACCTTTTTCAAGAACAAATTTCAGAAAGAACATATTGGTGAATGAGGCCCATAATGTGTTCAAGAATACCTCTTACAATTATTCTTAAGAAAAGAGGTAAAAATGATATATAAGAATTCTTGAAAAGTTATTTGAAGAATCACTTGTATAATAACAACATGAGAATAATTTGTCATAACATTTTTCTCAAGAAAAATAAGAAGAAACACATTTAAGGAGATTTTCTTTCTTAAGACACTTTGGTGAATCCGGCCCATGGTCTCTGGACGAAGAATAAAGATATGATCTCTGTGCAGCCTGCAGCTCTTAGCCAAGTGTCCCTAGTTATCTGCAACATGGATATGATTTATGTCCCAGAAAGGACTGAGCAGTGTTTCCCAGGCATTGTTGAAACACAGCGATACAATTTGCCTGAGTTAGCCTTCAGGGTCACACGGTCACACAGTTTACTCACACACACACACACACAGGGCTGCACGTACACAGAGCTGGTCAAGAAATATCACCATAGTGCATCTAGTGTGATTAATTATATATATACATATATATATATACTCACACACACACATAAATATATGGATAGATAGATATTGCACAAAAATGTCTCTACTTGAAAAATTAGGATACTGTTGTACATTATAGGTTGTGCGAAATGTAGATCAATGTAAATGCTCTTGTACTAATTCTTCCCATTCAGCATAAAACAGTATTTAAAAAGCCTAAAATTGTTACTTGACAAATTTAGCATAATTAAGAAGCTACAGTGACATTTCAGCTTCATTTCAGCTAAAAAGTAGCCTCGAAATGGAAATTCAAGGAAACATTAGCTGGTGTTAAGAGGAATAACTTGTTTAATGAAGAAAATATGGATTACAAAGCAATCTTGGGTCAAAACTTTGTTTACTCGTAAAGCATGTTTACTGGCAGAAGAATGGCAAGAATGAGGGACACCAATTCCAGAATCTTGCAGGTCAGTAGTGGAGCAGAGGATCCAGAAGGTGAGCTTCAGCGAGCGGCCAGGGAGAAAGAAAAAATGATGAGTCAGTGTACATACAGTGTAATTAAACTCAATATTTTATACATGGCTGCTGTGGGATTGTGTAGTATACTCAAAAGGCTATTGTGGTAAGACAATCTTCAGTAGTTCTGAACTGTAATGTTTTGCTAGTTAAAATCATAGTGGAAGACATTTCCTAAAATATGTGTAAAACAATGCTTTTCTTACAACACATTCAGTTTTAACTTTGCTATACAGAAGTGAGATAATATATAGTATTTTTCCAAACGTATTGGAATACACTGAAAATGCGTTTATTGCTAAATGTGTACCTCATCTGGCCGACTTCTATCTGAATAATAACATTAATGCCATTTGGAAGGCTGTCTGACAGGTTATGATACGATTTTTAGCCATCACAGTTTTTTCTTTGCTCCAATATCCTCACTATTCCAGATAAAGATGCCTATAATGTTCTTGGCTTTGGTATAGAGTTAAAAGTAAAAATTATTTGGAAGGTTTTTGCGGTAAACTTAAAGATAGCAGATGAAAGATAATGTAATTTGCCTGGTTTTATTTTGGAATGGAGCTAACATGCATAGTCAAAATGCGAATTACAGACACTTTCTTATTTTCTTATTTGTTAATCATCTTGAGAGCGTCTATTAAATCAGCTGGTGTATGTTAGTCTGTGCAGCATTTCAGTCTTTCTGTAGGCCTAGCTACAAATTCATAGCAGAAACTGTCCCACTGAAGTTTGCTATATCATTGTGCTAAGCTACCATCTGCTTCACTTGACTCACGTGAGTTTTATGAATCTTGAGTGAAATTCAGGTGAAATTATGTCAGTAAGTGATGTTGTTGTGCAGATGGTGCATGGTGTAGCAGCACCTTGACACCTTTAAAGATTTTGACTTTGAGCTTATAAAGGCCATAAATTGATAAATGTGGTCTTTACTTAGTAGGGTTCCTTCAAATTTAGCTTTAGTTTAATAAGAAAATAACTATTAAACAACTATCTGAACCTGAAGAAATGTATGTTTTTTGTGAGGAGCAAAGGAGACATAAATAACCTTTTAAGGAGAGGTTCTAGAACCCTTTTAAAATGGTGCTAAGTGTATGAAACTCAACAAAATCAACTCTTAGTAAAATGCTATAAGAACACTCATAGTATAGTAGCCATAGTTACCTGGTAGAGAAGTAGCAGTCATGGTTGCTCAGAAAGCCTGAATGTGTTAAAGTGATTCTTTTATATTCAGCTTCCTCAGTTGAAACACGACTGACGTTCTGCACTCTGAAGACCTCAGTTGGGGAAATAAGCTGTTCAATTTCCTCAGAAGTGCACGTGTAGTTCTCAACATTAACCACGGAACAGGAGGTGATGTAGAACAGCGTGCCTTCACCTTCTGACTCAGCTGCTTCAATTTCAGAGCTCTGCTGAACTCTGGGATGAAGGAACCTCCCAAAACGCACCTCCTTCCCAATTTCTGCTGTATACTGGTTGCTTGTGCCAAAGTACACGGTGGAACATGTTTTGCCATGGTTAAGAAGTTGCAAAGCATCTGTTAGCAGAAAGTGAAGAGACTTGAAGGGAAATTCGTTGTTGTATGTTGTGGCGTTGCTGCCTTTGGTCTGAACCAGTCTGTTGAACGTCTTTCGGAATTGAACTCCAGAATTCCCATAAGCCTGCAGTGCAGCCAAGTGATGAGGTGTTGCACCATAAATTTGCTTCTCACAAGTCCCACCGTGACCCCTCCACATCTCTGCAAAATCCTTTCTGGCCTTGAGGTCTTTCTGCAACAGGCCGCCTGGTGCTGTAATAGTCTGTATCATTTTGTCACGACACTCTGAGAAGGTGTCATCGACAGCATCAGGAGCCATGTCCAGCATTCTCTTCTCTGCAGTGACCTACACAATTAAGAGAAGCTATAATGGAGCACATGGATCTTAGTGTAGGGGTCAGGCTGTCCCAGAGGACAGAAGATATATGGATAGATAGATGATAGATAGACTGAATTTATGAAGATGGTGAAGAGAATTAGGAGAACCACACCTTTTAAAAGGGGTTCTTCAAGGGTTTTTAATATAGGCAATGGTTATATATAGAATCATTATGTCTCTAAGAACTATTTTAATGCTTAAATTGTTTCTTGTGTAGTTGCAAGGCTCAACTCAATGATAGAGAACCTTTTTTATATGATTTTTAATCTCACGCAGAGAAGTCATTAAGCCTTTTTTGGTACAATATGGAACTCTTTTTGATAACAGTGAGTATATAAGAAACCCAATGAACCACATTTGGAAAGCTGCTGTGTTGATATGTAAGATTTCTGTAGAATTAGGAAAATGATTGAATAAGAAATTAGTGTAAAACATCTTAAGTGTAAGCCTAAATTTTAAATGCTGAAACACACATTATCTTAAGTAAAATTCAAGTGCTAAATTTTGAAAATGTACATTTAAATTGCTTAAAGTTCTGAAACTTAAACCTTGGGGTCTACAACTCATTTTGCAATTATGATTTTTTTCAGTTTCGATTTAAACATTGTCCTAAAGAGATTTTAAACTCACTTAAGATAAAAAAGAGAACTTTAGGCCAAAATTCACTGAAGACGTTTTGGTGACACTTTATTTTGAGTGGTCCTTTTTAGATGAAACAAACACTCAACAGACTCTCGGTAACATGTCAGAAATATAGGATTGTTAGGATTAGGTTCTGAGTTGAGGTTATGGTTAGGGTTAGGACTAGGGCCAGGGTTAGGGTCAGGTTTTGGGTAAGGTTGGTTTTTTGTGTAATGGAAGTAACATATTAACAATACATCTACTCAATGTAAGTAATGAATCACCAGAACATCTACAAGATATTTACTTCAATGTACTGAGATGCTTCACTACTGCTACTTCACTGATATGTTGTTGATGTGTTACTGATAATCTGTTAAGAGTTTATTAATTAACTACAAAGGCCCACTCAAAATAATGTGTTACCAGAGTTTTATGCAAGTGCCAGGATTGCAGTCCAAAATTTGATATAACTAGATCACTCCAACCTGAAACGAACGTAGTGGCAAATTTAATATCTCTATTGATTATGTGACTTGAGAACAATTTCAAACTGTTTCATGAATGTTTTCATTCATGTGAATCTGAAGGTTGCATTAGTCTGTGGTTTTGATAAATGGTATTGGGTTCATCACTGGTTTAAAGAAAACAGAGCAAACATTGAAATAATGTTTTTTACCTTTATATATCAGAACCAGAGACAAAGAAGTCTTACAAATCCTTAGAAGTTCATGCAAAGAACTTACATTGTGGATGAGCACGGGGAGGAACATCAGCAGAAAGAGACTCAAATTCTGACCTCCCATTATATCGGTCCACTCATCTTTGCCAAGGTAAAATGAGCACAGAATCAAAAAGGAGAAAAAAGTTACCAAATTAACACTGGGGCCTATAAACATTCTTTTACAGAACTTAGTTAAGCCAGCCACAGTTGGATTTTACCATTTAAACATAGCCAGAAATATGTTATTTCCCAGACAAGGATTAAGCCTCGTCCTGAACTACACAGCATTCTGAATGAAATTTCCCCATTGAAAGGATTAGGCTTAATCCTTGTCTAGGAAACTGGCCTGTGAACTGTGTACATGACTCAAACCTGGTAAGCTCCAACTGTGACCACAAGGGAGCAACACTAGACAAGAAACTAGAGAAAGGGAAGGGAGGGAGCAGAGTTTTCTGAAGTAAACAAGCCGAGAATGACCCACTGGCAATGTGGCTGTGGTCAGATAGCACGTTTAACAGCTTTAATCAGCAGAAAAACTGCTTAGCTGATAATAAGTAAGTATAATTTAGCAGTTTACAGTAAGTATACACGCAGTTTTGCAGTTTTTCTGGTCCAGAAGTGAAATGCTCAATGAAAAATTAGATGACGTGCAACATTGTTACAAACTAAATGGAACAACTTTTTCAATGTATTTCTAAATCACTAGATCAGTGTTGCTGCATGCTAAGAAAACATGCTAGTACAGATTCCATATTCGTAAGAAGTAAGAAAACTTACTGCCTCTGGGACAATTCAGCTGCACGTCTAGACAAAGAAGAACATTTTGTACATGGTTGCCCAGTTTAAAAGTCCAGGCAGTTCTCCAGTAACCAGTTGGCTTTGTCCTTTATAGGGTGGGGAGAGGATTTAAGGGGACACAACCCCCATATCTACACTGCAGAAGTCACATGGAGCTGGTATAATACAGTAAATATACATGCTTAAAGTTCTGAAACTTAAACCTTGGGGTCTACAACTCATTTTGCAATTGCGATTTTTTTTATTTAAACATTGTCCTAAAGAGATTTTAAACTCATTTAAGGTAAAAAGAGAACTTTAGGCTAAAATTCACTGAAGACATTTTGGTGACACTTTATTTTGAGTGGTCCTTTTTAGATGAAACAGACTCTCAGTAACATGTAAGAAATATAGGAGGGTTAGGATTAGGTTAGCTGGTATAATACAGTAAATATACATTGTAAACATACATACAAAAATACAGTGTTTCGCATAATGGCTGGTCAGAAATAACAGAAACTGCCAATGATTGGATTTGACATTGTTTAAGGCACATATATAGACATATAAACTAACGGCCCATTACCAGCAGATTACCACCTTTCCAGCCTTGCAGCCTTTTGACCAAATATTATTGGTGTTGGTGATTTTAATGCATTGTGCTGCACTTTTATGGAGTTAGTTTTGTGCCAAAATGTTTAAGAGAAGATCCTGATGTTTGAGAGAGGAATGTTCTGGTTTGAGAGGACAGCGGTGGTCTGAGCGTGCAGCTAATGAACTTGAATGGACTTGTCAGCACGAAGTGCGCAGGTACAATCTGCACAACAATTCATCCCTTTCAGAGCTCATTGACTGTGTTTTTCCTCTCTTTCTTTTGCCGAGTTGAACAGCTGCCCATCCTGCTGCTGATGCTGCTGCCTCTGCTGCCTTGATCGGGTGCCACTGCTCACCGTGCAAACCTCACCCTCACAACCTGACCCCACTGAAGCTGCTGCTTCTGCTGCATGAACTGAACTATTCAAATTAATTGTTTCCTTCACGTTTTACCCTGTTTTTTGTACTATAATACTTTATACTAACAATGTTTACTATCCGGTGTCGACCAGAGGAGGATGGGTTTCCCTTCTGAGTCCTGGTTCCTCTCAAGGTTTCTTCCTGTTTCTCTTAGGGAGTTTTTCCTTGCCACTGTCGCCACTGGCTTGCTCATGGGGGCTTGGACCCGGACTTCTTTTTGTAATGCTCATTTCCTTGTAAAGCTGCTTTGTGACAACACCTGTTGTAAAAAGCGCTATATAAATAAACTTTACTTACTTACTTACTTACTTACTATTCATGCAAAACACTCATTTCTGCTCTCAGCTCCACAGCACATGCTCAACTTTCACATCTGCTCGCTGTAAAATGTCTGAACGTTTGTGTCAAAACTCCAGCCAATAAATAATAACATATTAATCGAACTAACATTGGTAGCTAGGCCTTATGTTTCCTACCTGAGGCTTAACGTTAACTAACTTCAAATAGTTTAACATTAATCAGCTAAGCTGATGTTACCAAGGTTTCTTTGAATGTAGCTAACAGTGTCTAACAGTGTTCTACTGAAAAGTCTGAACTCTCTTATAGCGCTTGTCTTCATAGGCTAATCTTGTTAATCCTGTATATTTATCTTGTATAATGGCAGAAACAATACTGATGCTGTGCAGTTTTATATGGACAAGAAAAAAACTCTTTTCAGTGAGATCAGGGAGTAATATAGTTCATCCAATTTTGTTTACTAGACATAATACTGTTTTCTAAAGGCCATACATGTTTTTTCCTCTGTTTGGTGTTCACACATCGGTTACTGTAAATCATTGATTAAAAATATCAAGCACACAAACTATAAATATAACGGATATTTCTTCTCATTCTCAGCTCTTTGCTACCATCTCTGGATTTCCACCAATCCCTTGGAATAAGCAGTATACTCTAAAACGCAAACATAAAAACCGGATGATTCTCAAACTCACTGTTAAAAGACTTAATTGACTGACTTATCATCTGTTGTCAGCATTTCACAGCATTAATGCAGTTAATATACTGGATGCAAAGTTTAGGTTATCAAAACACACTGATGTCTGATTCAAACCAACCTACTGTTGATGGGTGCTAAATAACAACAGGAAAATACATTATGTATGGGCCTTAGAAAAGAAGTACAGTATTATGTCTAGTAAAGAAAATAGGATGAACTATATAACTCCCTGTACTCACTGATTTTTTTTTTTGTCCATATAAAACTGCACGGCATCAGTATTGTTTTGAATGACGCCATTATACAAGATAAATCTCTCACACATCTTTTCAAAAGCAATAACAAATAAAGTCCATGTTGTTGTTTTTTTTTCTTTTATGAAAAGTGATGGGATCTGTACTTTAACTTTAAATAAAATTATCAAAACTAGCATTTAAATGAGCACATAAAATCCCTGTGTCCACCTAATATGGTGACTTTAGCCTGTCCCACCTCACTGACATAGAAATTCTCTATGTTATATTTTCATTAAAATCTTCCGCTAACACCATACAACCATGACAGTGTTTTTGGCTAAGATCCAAGCAATTTTATGTTAAATTAATAATTTTTTTACTATTAATTTACAACCTTATTTCCAAAAAAGTTGGAAAAGCTGTGCAAAATGTAAATAAAAACAAAATGCACTGATGTGCAAATCATGTAAAACATATTTTCATTGAAAATAGTACAACAACAACATATCAAATGTTGAAACTGAGAATTTTTATTGTTTTTTGAAAATATTTGCCCATTTTGAATTTAATGCCAACAACACATTCCTAAAAAATTGGGCTGGGGGCAACAAAAGGCTGGTAAGTTGTGTAATGCTAAAAAAACACATGGTGATTCATTGGCAATAAGTCAGAAACATGATTGGGTATAAAAAGAGCATCTCAGAGAGGTGGAGTTTTTCAGAAGTAAAGATGAGGAGGGGTTCACCACTCTGAAAGACTGCGCAAGCACATAGTGCAACAATTCAAGAATAACATTTCTCAATGTAAAATAGCAAAGAACTTCTGCTTTTCAGCATCTACAGTAAATAATATTATTAAAAGATTCAGAGAATCTGGAGAAATCTCTGTATGCAAGGGACAAGGCCAAAAATCAGTATTTGCTGTCTGTGAACTTTGGGCCCTCAGGCGGCACTGCATTAAAAACAGACATGATTCTGTAGTGAAAATCACTGCATGGGCTCAGGAACACTTCTGAAAACCACTGTCTGTGAAAACAGTTTGTCGCTGCATCCACAAATGTAAATTAAATCTCTAAAATGCAAAAAAGAAATCATACACAAACAGGATCCAGAAATACTGCCACCATCTCTTGGCCAGAGCTCATTTAAAATGGACTGGGGAGAAGTGGAAAAGTGTCCTGTGCTCTGACAAATCAACAATTGAATTTTTTTTTGTGGAAATCATGGACACTGCGTCCTCCGGGCTAAAGGACACTCAGCTTGTTATCAGTGCACAGTTCAAAAGCCAGTATTCAGAATGGTGTAGAGGTGCATTAGTGCACATGGCATGGGTGATGTGCACATCTGTGAAGGCATCATTAATGCTGAACGATATATACATGTTTTGTCAACATATGTTGCCATCCAGATGACGTCTTTTTCAGGCTTTGCTTATTTCACCAAGACAATACCAAACCACATTCTGCATGCATTACAACAGCTCCGTATTGAAAGAGTCCAGGTGCTAAACTGGCCTGCCTGCAGTCCAGAAGTGTCACCCATTGAAAACAATTGGAGGGTTATGAAATGAAACATACAACAAAGGAGACCCTGAACTGTTGAGCAGCTGAAATCCAATATCAAACAATAATGGGAAAACATTTCACTATCAAAACTACAGCAACTGGTCTCCTCAGTTCCCAAACCCTTACAGAGAGTTGTTAAAAGAAGAGGTGACGGTGAAACACAGTGGTAAACATGCCCCTGTCCCAACTTTTTTGGATCATGTTGTTGGCATCAAGTTCAAAATGGGCATATATTTTTCAAAAAACAATAACATTTCTCAGTTTCAACATCTGATTTGTTGTCTTTGTAGTATTATCCTTTAAAAATATGGTTCACATGATTTGCATATCATTGCATTTTATTTTTATTTAAGCGTTCCAATTTTTTTGGAAATGGAGTATTTAACAATAAAGTCATTTTAACCTCCCACATTTTATGCACAACCCTGTTACCCAAGCCTGTTCCCCCTCTCCTGTAAAAAAATGGAACATTCGATTTATTATGACGTAAACAGGAATTTGCATCATCTTGTTGTTTTCTTCAGAACAACCGTCAGACAAGTAAATATTCTTATTCTATTTTCTCAATTTACACACACAAAAAATGAATGGCTCCATGGGTAACGCATTACCATTTAACCCTATTTTATTGAAAACATTTAGATTAAAACGAATTTTAAGCTTCATTAAAACAAAATTTTAAACTTCTTCTACTCTATGTTGTATATTTTATGTGTGTTTTTACTGCATTTATATCAACTTAATGGGGAATATGATCTCTGTCTTCAACCCTGTTACTCGCTTTAGCCCAGGTGTCAACCCTGCTATTCAGTCATTTTTGGTTAAAATAGTCTTAAAGCATTTCACTTAGTAAGTTATCAGAATTGTTAATTTGCTAAAAATGACAAAAATTGAGGTACTTTTTTGGATAGTGTTTAAAAGTCAGAACACATTTTTTTACTTACAGTGAGTGGTAGCACCCTCTTGTGGATAACATTGACACTGCTAAACACAGCTTTATACCTAACTGCAGTTATCAATCCAGTTATTATGACAGGCCTAGTTTTATCATGGTCTTCACTTATGCAGGAGATGTTTTACATTTACCCAGCAAACATAGATAGATCTTGGTCTGCGCATACTTTCGAAATGTTGTACACCGTCTCTCGATTAGTCTGTCCACAAGACAAACATCATATCATCAGTCAACAATCAGAATTTAAAACAGCAAACACTCATTGCAACAGCAATTGCATTGCAAAGGTCAGGATCTTTTAAGTATAGAAATAATACATGAAGAACAGTCTGCTGTCTAGTATTGTCGGATTGTTTGGGTCCCTCCACACTAAATTCATCACCTTAATGGACCTTGCTTTATACACAGGGCCACAGTCACACTGGAAAAGGAAAGGGCCTTCCACAACTGTTGGAACCATATAATTGTGTAAGTTTTGTCTCTGCATGTTGTAGCATTAACATTACCCTTCACTGGAACTAAGGAAAAGCAGCCCTAGACCATTATATTTGGCAATTTGCATGCTGATAGGTAGTGTTGTCTTACCTACATGTAGATATTGATCGCAGTAAAAGACAGCGTGCTAGTTACTGCCACAGTGATTTTATAAACAGCTCCTATTTACCATGCAGTTTTATCAATCTGGCCCACACTGCACCAAGAGTCACTCAGTCAGAAAACCTTGTATGTCCAAAAAAAGGAAAAATGTTGAAGACTGTCAATGGAAGTTAATGTATAGAGATTTCATTCTAAGATGTTTCGGAGCTTTTCTATTCACCCATTCATCATGAAATTTTGACATGACAACGATGGAGATGCAAGGTTTTGTTCCAAAATTCATGATATACTGTATAAAATGAAACAAACAGTGAAGTTGGTGCCATCGCTCTTTTAATTCCATAAAATCACATGAAAACAACATTTAAAAACAAGTAAACATTTTACAATCAATGCACAAAATATAGGGACAGCTTATTCACAAGATCATAATCAAATGCAGTGCTGAATAGTATTTGCCCCCTCCAGATTTCTTGTTTTTTTACATATTAGTCACACTTAGTTGTTTCAGATCTTCAGACTAAATGTAATAAAAAAAAAACAAAGACAATCTGAGTAAACCCAAAATACCCCAAATACATGAACAGATTAAAAAAGAAATTTATTGAAATACATCAGTCTGGGAAGTGACTGAGAGCCATTATCATCAAAAAAACTTGGAGCAGTGGTGAATGTTCCCAGGAAGTGGCCTGCTGACCAAAGTTGGCAACTTATCCAGGAAGTCATGAAAAAAACCCAACAAACCTCAAAGAAACTGCAGGCCTCACCCGCCACAGATAAGGTCAGTGCTCATGATTCCAACATTAGAAAACGACTGGACAAAAATGGTACCCATGGGAGAAATGCAGGGTAAAAACAACTGCTAACCAAGAGGAACATAAAAGCTCATCTCACACTTGCTAAAAAACACAATTTAGTTTGACAAATATGCAAATATAGAGACAATCATACTTTTTCACAGCACTACAAAAGAGTCTGTATACATTCATCAGTGCTAAAATACTACCAGCTTTATTTAGCAGCCTATTAATTTTTAGGTCTAGCTCAAAGATACATTCAAATCCAAGATGAATAGCTAAACACAATGTGCTCATGTATAAATTCAGTCCATGTATAGTATAAAATCTTAGTCTCTCTTAAACACAAATCTAAGTAACATTTGTCCACTTCCACTTCTCTCTTTCCGCTGAGGCACAGGAAGCAACGAAAGAAATTAAATCATATTTAACAATCTTATAAGAGTAATACTACCTTCCAAAGCACACACTTACTCCTTAGTCCGTACACTAAAAAGAGGCTCATTCATTCTCAATAAGAGCTTGTGATTTCCAGGGACAGCGTGCAGCATGAATGTTGGCAACATGAAGGCGTGGAGTCAGTGATGCAATAAAGTTAAGCAAAGTTTTATTTTATGCAAATTAGAATGAAGCAGTGTGCATCTTTTTTGGTTCCTAGATATTTGTTCCTACTAGAGATGGAGGAACAGCGGCCATGTTTTCAAAGCAAATCGACGGAACAACACTGTTTTCTTGTCATACTGACTGCACAGAATATGATGCACTACACAGAGGTTACAATTATAGACATGCAGTTACTCTCCACAATTTTTATTTTTAGCAGGATCACATCCGATTTTGGGTAACAACAAATCAATTTGTGGTCAAATTGATTTTGTATACATCCTGTAGCCACTGGTCAGTAAAGTACAGTGTATTGCCATGGCATTTGCTTGCTGTACATGAGACCATGGCAACCAAGTTCAGCTCAAGTTCAGAAACACCCACATTTGAGCAACAAAAGGCGATAAGTCACTGCCAGTGTGAATGCAGGTTAGTCTTACAGGGCCAGACATGATCTCATAGTGAAAACGACAGGGGACAGCCATGAGAAATTTTGGGTTAAGTGTGGTTTAAATGTGGGGCTTAACAAGGTCAAATTTCAGAACCACTCCAACACCTTGTGAAGGTGGAGCTCAAAATAGGGGGTGAGGGTCTGTTCATCATCATTGTCCAACTGACATCTAGCCTGTCATTAGTCTGTGGTTGTAATGTAAGTTAACATGGCTGAAAGGCCCCTAGATGTATGTTGTCAGTGTGGAGACCACATTACACGTCGTAAAGATAAACATTTAATCCCACAAAAGAAAAACAGGTCATTTGGCTAATAGCGTTTCGCTAGTTCGATTTGCTAGCTTGTGTTATCAGTTGTACTTCAGATGTTTACAAAAAACACAGGAATTTGGGAGTGGCTTTTAGAGGGGTTGCACCCTTTCCATGATGTGATAAACGAGAGTACATGTCTGGCCCTGTGAGACTAAAGATGACTATAATAATGTAACCCATGAGGTCCTTAGCAAATGTAGCAATTCTGCAGGTGTCGTTGTTGCTTGTATTTATACAGATGGATGTGTGAGTCACTGTGTAACAGTGCAGCAGTACAGACTCAGAAAGGACGCCATCAGTGCCAGAACCATAGAGCTCAGCAGTGGACTGGAGGATCCACCAGGAGGCCTTAAAAGAGACAAAAAGAAGAGAAAACAGACATGAACCATAAGGAATAGCCCAAAAATGCATTTTGCATGGCCTCAAAGGTTTTGAGCTGATACCCAGCTTCTGTGCTCAAATCCCAAAAGTCTATTTCTGTGTGTAAACACACTATAAGGTGTATCCTATGTTGATCATCTAGGTTTTGGCAGGCTAGTATGCAAAATATTAACACACAGCACCATTTTGCACTGAGGGAAGGCAGTGTCAGCATATTACTGCTATATTTAAACAACAATAGAATAAGTTTTGTCACAGCCTTCTTTGTATGGTTGTACTTATTAGAGGCAGCTCTCAGATCGAAGTGCAGCTTTATTTAAAGTGAACGAGAATCGGAAATTCATTTTCCTTCCTCACAGTGATGTGTTTCTGGGCATCACGGTGAGGCTCTGAGCCAGCTGAGCGTTTCGAAGGATGATGGCCGTTTAGGTAAAATATGTTATTTGCTCATTGGGACATTTGTGTGTGTGTGTTTTTTGCAAATACTACCTATATTTTTGTCAAACTGAGAAGCTTAATACCAGAGAGGCCAAACGGATCTTCTACTTCAACTCGAAGTAGCTAATTTGTCTCATACTGAGAGCTGTTAGTTAGCCGTGTGGGCTAATTAATCCTAACGAAGCAAGTTCAGCCAAGTTTAACTGGAGTTTTTCTCTGTTCGTGAACGGAACAGCAGGACTTATCAAATGTTTGAACGTTGCCATTCACCTAGACCATCACCCAGATAGCAGATCTCCCCTGGTTGCTGTGGACTTTCTGTCCAGGCCGAGGTCAAGTTCACAGCTCCCTATTTTTACTTTCACCCCTATTATTTCAATCTCTAATTTTCCTGGTTTGCCTTCTTTACACGCAGTTCATTTTATCTATACAATTTTTCATTTGTTCTGTGTTTTCTGGGTATAAAACGAGAGGCTGATGTAGGGGAAGCCTAATTTAAGTAAATTTGGTGACTGTTATGCTTAAAAGGGCTTGAGGCTATCCTGTATCAGGAACACCTAGGAGGGTTACAACCTCTAGTCTTTGCCAGCAGGAAGATGAGTAACTCAGAAAAGAATTACCTAATCCACCAGCTTGAGTTTTTGGCACTGAAGTGGACAATTGTGTACAGTTTCCAGGCTTTCTTAATGGGGCCACCACCAGGCTAAATGCCACTGGGCATTGTTGGCTTGAAGCACTAGCCAATTATGATTTTGACACACAGAATTGGCCCAGCAAGATCAACATGGATTCTGATTTGTTCTTGCGTAACCTGGCAGGGGAAGAGGACATTAAAGAGTGGGAGAGTACGCTGCAGACAGGGATGAGAGCTATCTGGGTAGTGAAGGACTATTAGCTATGTGAGGCAACAAGGAGCCACACCCGTGTGTGTTCCACATGTCTATACCAACCCCACACACCTAGAAGTGAACTCATTGGATTTGATGTCAAAAGCAGAGTTGATTCAAGCCCAGAAGGAGGATGTGGTTACTGGCATAGTAATGGAGTTCATGAAGGGGGGTGGATGACCAGAAGGTAGTTCAATCCCTGAAATACTGTTCAGAAGACTGTCTTGCACTCCTTGTATGACAAGATGGGCCATGTGGGAGTGGGAAGAACGAGTGACTTTCTGAGAAGTAGGCTCTACTGTCCCAAAATGGCAGCAGAATTGCAGAACACTGTGGGCAGTTTGCTTTAAAAACTCATAAAACTCATTGCAAAATGGTTGCTAACTTTACATCAGATCATCAGCAATAACCAGAGAGATCTGGTACGCACTGACTTGCTTTTCGGGCTCTAAGGGGGATATGCAATGTATTAGTGGTTACAGATCACATTACGTGTTATGTCCAGGCCTTCTTGACCAAGAATCAGACAGTCCTCACTATAGCTAAGACCCTGGTGGAGAAATACATTATGGCCGACTTGTAAGAATTTACTCCGAACACTGGCTACTCTACGTACTATTTATGTTTGAAGGGGAGGCCAGACTTCCCATGAATCTTTGTTTTGAAATGTCCTCTAATGGTGCTGCAGTAAAAAATCACATCCAGTATGTGAAGAAATTAAAGAGGGACCTGCAGGGAGCAGAACAGCTGGCTACTGAGGCTGCCAACGAGGTACATCAACAGAACAAGTAGGCTTATGATAGACAGGTAGACATCCTGTATCAACCTAGAAGGGTTGGGACATGGGAGACCAGGTGCTGGTGCAGAATTTTGGCCAGAAAGGGAAGTACAAGCGTCAGAGTCGATAGTGTCCCATAACCCTTGTACTGATGGAAGAACTGCCTCACTTGCCAGGGCATAGCTGACAGAGGATGCCTTTTGCCTATTGGCCAATCTATAAGGCTACATGGTTTGGATGCCCCTGACAAATCTGTGCAATGGAAGACATGTACCCAGAGCAAGAGGCTAAACAGATGGCTGACACTGCAAAGTGAAGAATCCCAAGAGTCCATAAAATCATCCTCAAACCTGGAGTGTAAAAGAATGTATAAGCCATATAAGATCTGCAGGCAGCACCTCTTGCAAAGGGCGTTGGCAAAGAGACCATCAAATGATGTTTCAAATAAGACAGAACCTCAGACCTGAGGGCATTAAAAGTGGTTGCTTGATGGAAGGAGAAGGTGGTGACCGCTCTCCCTTCACTGCTGAATCTGAGTCTGTATTTGAAAGGGGAATGGGCTCTGACATTAACTTCAGAGGGAGACATTGCTCTAGGCAAAACTCAAGGCAGGTTAGATCACAAGCTGTCCCTAAAAGAACTCTAAAACCAATTCAGTTAGATGGGGGACGATGTAGCCCACTGGGAAAGTTGTGTGTGTTTTTGCATATATTCCTGTGCCACTCCTGAGCATCGACAAATTGCTTGAACAAAAAAAATTTGTACAACATTATATTATAAAAATTACAGGAATTATAGGGAGTTGTGCCATGTAGCCTGGGCCCTGATGACGAAGGCAGGGGCCTGAATCTGCAATGGTGGTGAATCGCCAGTCCTCCTGCCAGCTCTCGCAACTGTCATCAGGGTCCAGGGGATGGGTACATGGCACAACTCCCAATAATGTTAACTTTACAGGAAAAAACAAAAAAAACGTCCCTAAAAGTCGCCCTGACTTTTAATGCAAAATAATGTAAAATGATTTTCTTCAAAAATTTTACACAATGTAAAAGACGGTTAATATATTCAAAAGATGTAGGAAAATAAAATTCTAAAAAGAGAAATACAAGATACATTTTTTTGGTTTGCTTTTGTTTGTTTTTTTTTTTCTTGACAATGCTGATTTACCAGTTGTTGGTTTTTTTTTGTTTTTTTATTTAGGTTACTCAACTATAGCACTTGTGAACATACTAGATAATATGTACTAAAACAGTATGTAGCTTGGAGAATTAGTGTTTAGTTTACAGTTGAATACAGCACCAGTTGTTAACAAGACAAAAAGAAAACAATGTGTTTTAGAGGTAATACAAAAGACTGGCATTGTTATGTCACATTTTTATAGTTAAAAAAAAAGCTACTCTGGTGAGGTAGCTCTTGTCAAATCTATTTTTTTCTATTCCCTGACTTTGAGCTGGAGTAAAATGGCATAATAATATAAAATAAAATACACAATCATGAAAACAGTATAATTTTTGCCTCACAATATAGGAGTTCTTCTTGTCAACACCCTTTTTTTCACAAATCGATCACTGCAGTTCACTCCTTAACCCTAGCTTAGAACTTTGTTATCAATTATAACACTTCTTATCTAATAACACTTCTATAAAGCTAATATGCTAGTTACGTAATTATGATTTTAATAGAAAACCAACAGTTAATCTGGTAGATATGTAGTCGTGAGTTTATTGGTAAACATGGTAGTCAATCTCTAAACTACAGTACTGACTAAAATATGCTGTAAATGAAAAAAATAACAAATCTTGGTCACTGTAGTAATATAGAATAACCTTATACTGTAATTAACTCATTAAGTATATTTAAGTATATAAGTAATATCTTTGACTTACCTTGGAAAAAGGTAGCAGTCATGGTTGCTCAGAAAGTGTGAATGTGTTAAAGTGATTAAGTTATATTCAGCTTCATCAGTTGAAACACGACTGACGTTCTGCACTCTGAAGACCTCAGTTGGGGAAATAAGCTGTTCAATTTCCTCAGAAGTGCACGTGTAGTTCTCAACATTAACCACAGAACAGGAGGTGATGTTGAACAGCGTGCCTTCATCTGCTGTGACAATATGTTCAATTTCAAGGCTTTCACGGATACTGGCACTGATGAACATTCCAAAACGCACCTCCTTCCCAATTTCTGCTGTATACTGGTTGCTTGTGCCAAAGTACACGGTGGTACATGTTTTGCTGTGGTTAAGAAGTTGTAAGGCATCTGTTAGCAGAAAGTGAAGAGACTTGAAGGGAAATTCGTCGTTGTATGTTGTGGCGTTGCTGCCTTTAGTCTGAACCAGTCTGTTAAATGTCTTTCGGAATTGAACTCCAGAATTCCCATAAGCCTGCAGTGCAGCCAAGTGAGGAGGTGTTGCACCATAAATTTGCTTCTCACAAGTTCCACCGTGATTCCTCCACATCTCTGTAAAATCCTTATTAGCCTTGAGCTCTTTCTGCAACAGGCCGCCTTGTGCTGTAATAGTCTGTATCATTTTGTCACGACACTTTAAGTAGGTGTCATCGACAGCATCAGGAGCCATGTCCAGCATTCTCTTCTCTGCAGTGACCTATGAAACAGACAAAAGGCTTAGCAATGAAGAAGAAAATACTGAAAAGATATAAACTGGAACTGCAGTACAGTCGTTACCAAGAATCTTTACTACAATAGAGGGATAAGAATAGCTGAAGCTTGCCTTACACTAATCTGATGAAACTTTTAAAGTTATCATGTTTGTGAGATCATTCCTACTCAAACAAGCAGGCTATTAATTTCAAGCAACATTCATTGCTGCAGTGTACACCAGGGGTTCTCAACCTTTTCCACCCCAAGGCCCACCTGTTTTTAAATATAAAGCTCAGCAGTTCATGAAAATCTTCACTATTGTTTTAAGGCTCGTCTGTTGTTTTTATCAGCCTGCAGGAATGAGAATCTGCAAAGAATCAGATGGTAAAACAGGCAAATTATACTGACAAACAGCACCGACATGCTACTAGTGGAAGAAAGTTGGCTCTACAGATTAATTGCCTCGATTCATCATAAAATGTATCCCACCAGCAGTGAATAAAACAGGGTTCGGCTGGAAGCGGACCTGTATTTGCCGGACCATTTCAGCTGTTTGTTGCAGACCCAAATACAGGAATGTTTACACACATTAAAACAGAGTGAACTAAAGAAAAAAGTTTGATATGTCCGCACCGAACAAGGCAGGAGAAAGCGCCCTGAGGAACGTCTCCATCTCTGGCTAACTGCACTGCATGTCTGAGGCTGTGTTGTCTCAAACTGATGATGTTTGACCAGCCTGCGACTGAGATGTTTTCATTTATAAGGCTCTGTTAATATTTATATTGGTTATAATTCAGAAATGTTTGATTCTTCATTTTTTTAATTATTAGGCTTAAGTAAACTTTTTTCCACTCATGTTTTTATGACTGGCCCACTACAAACTACTGCCTCCTCCAGAGTACAGTCCCGCGGACCACTAGAGGGTGCTTCATGGCCCACCGGTGGTCCATGGCCCACAGGTTGAGAAACCCTGGTGTAGACTGTAGGGTATTGCTTTAGTGTACTCATTTTTTTCATTAATATTACTTGACACATGTAATTGAGTTCAACTGAGTCCGTTGTGTTGTGTCACTGAAATACAGTGATTTGTCAGATTTACTTCAGAAATGTTTGGTCAATGCAGCCTTGATAAGTACAATGCAACATCTTTCTGGCACCCAGCACCATATTCTTTTACTTTTTTTTCTTTAGTTACTCTTTGTGTTATCTTTCCTCCTGGCCTATATTCCTCTCTGGGTGCATATTCTCTCCTTAAACACCTAGCCTTCTTGTTGGCTGTAAAAACGAGTTACCATGTATCTTGCTGCTAAGCGAGTTTCTACATGCTCAGGTTTCAGGGTTTGGAGGCTGTCACAGGGTGGTTATTGAACATTAAATGTACCATTTTCCACTGCAGTTATATATGCCCATGGAACTTGACTCCATGTTTATCACACTGTTCTACTTAAATCTGCACTACTTAAGATTTACACAAATCAGAACCTACATTACAAAATGTTCTTCTGCATGCTGCACGGAACAAAACATTTCCACCTTATCCACAAATCCTAATCCTAATCTAGCTGTTTAAAAAGTTAAAAGGTGCAAAAATGCCTGTTTCCTTTGGGAAAATGAATACAGTATAAACTAATTTAACACAATGTATTGGGCCTTAAGGACCATGTGGTATCTTTTTAGGGGAGTATTTACATTTTGTGAGAAAAAAAATGACTTTTTCTGACAGCATAACTACATTATGTAAATCAAAATAAGTGATCAAGTTAATTGTACGTGTAGTACTTTAAAATGGTATAAAAACAGTCTAGATAATTAGATATTTAATTGCATAGGTATATATACAATATGTAATATATAGAATTAGATAATTAAACTTTACTCAAATAACTTTCTTATGATTTATTTGAATTCTCTGAAGACATATTACAGGGGTGTAGGCAGAAATAAGTAGGTGGTCCATTCATGTCTTACCTCTGACACACTGAATAACATTAGATGTTTGCTTTGACATTTTCACAAAGCTACTTTCAGCCTTTGTGGCAAAAGAGCATTGTAAGTAACAAAATTGCAGAAAACTGACAACAATGTCCCAGGTACATCTTTTAACCACAGCTGGGGCTTCAAATTTAAACACTGGTGTGCTAATAATAAACCCAAGGTTTGAGGAAATGGCAGATAGCAATGGTTGTTGAGCGGTTTTTGGAGGGCTGGGAAAAGTAGGCAGAGCTTGGCAGAGAGAGCATAACAATTTGATTGGCCACAATTCAATAACAGCACTCACAGAAAACCAATTAAATTTCATTATCTTAAAAAAATCAACTAGTAAATATTCTTTACCCATTTGATTGGGTAGGCCTGTGATCAATATGGATGGGCCTAGCCATGGCTCTGCCCCTACCATGTTATCTGAGAAGCTACTTAAGAGTTTTGGGGCACTACTTGAAGTATCATTTAAAAATAAAATTAGCATTTCATTTTTTGAGTGACCGTTACAGCGCAATCACAATAAAACAACAAAGAGTATCACTGGTATCTTCAGTTAACAAAAACAGCTGTATAGTGTTATGAACGCAGCTTTAAATTTGTGAAGTGGAGACAAAGAGCTTACAGTGTATAAGAGCCCAGCAAGGAGTATCAGGAGAAAAGGATTCACACTCCAACATTCCATTCTGTCAGTTAGCCTACTCGCCTTCGCCGTGCCAAAATGAACACAGGAAATATGTGCGGAGAAGAGCTGTTAAACACAGAAAGTGAGACGAGAAAACATTATGAATATATCATAATCATATCAAACGTTGTATCTCAGAGAATGAGTTTTCTTGCAGAAATACTGTCGCTAATAATTTCAATTACAAAGTGAATTTGATTAAACAATGAAGAAATAATGAAAAAACTACTCAATGATTTCCAAACAACTGAAAAAATAGAAGATTGAAAGAACAACTTGGACTATCGACCAGAACTGACCACAAGCTTGCTGTATCAGTAAAAGACTATAAACAGAATATAGTATTTTTTTTGACACTTACCAGACCAAGCCTACAAGATCAAACTTCACGGAAAGCTCTGGTTACAATGTGTGCAGCACAGCGTCTGCAGGAGTGCCCATCCTTCAGAAGAAAACTCTGTTCTTATCAAGACTGGACATCAACAGTAACTCCCTGCTAGTGTCTTCCGCTGACCTGCGAAAGGAAATAACACAGGAAATTTCCCAGGCAACCACTGCCACTCAGTAAAAGGCTGACTCAACAATGACCAAAAATGTGGGTAAGTTAAGGTGGGGCTGATATCAAGAAAGAACATGCACACATAGCATAGAGTATGAGCTTTTCTGAGCTGCTTTTTTATGTGGTATATTCATTGCAGATTGTGCCCTGGAGCTTCCTGATATCAATATCTTTGAGCTTAAGTTTTTATTACACTTTTAAGATCTTTTCAGAAGAGGAATGATGCATTGAACAGGTTTGTTGTTTGCTAACTCATGCCTGAAATGATAAGAATAACTGAGACTACAACAAGCCTATAAATGCAGACATGATAGTATAATTCAACATCTCTTACTGAATGGGAATTTGTGGGGCTAAAGATTTGAACTGACTAGGGTTGAGCACTACAACTACAATACGGTGTCTCGTGGTTAAGGCCTCAGTATATTTCTTGTGGAAACAACGTTTGACTGGCTTCAGTGAACAACATGACATAATTGCGAAGCAAACAAGCAACCAAAGATGATGCCCATGGCAGCTGGGTCAACTCCGCAGATGGACAGACTACGCCACAAAGGCTATGATTCAACAGAGCAGAAGAGGCTCATAGGCACCAAAACAAACCACAGAAAGGCTTGCAATACATATGCTTTCATACAACCTTTGTGAGCTTCGTTCTGAAAGTATACCAAGGCCTTCAGGTCTGTTTTCAACATTGTGGTGTTTGGGTTCTAGAGTGGTAGCAATGTTTGTGCAATACTTTGCTATATGGGTCTATTTGATATATAGGCCTCTGCCTGAGACTAACCTAGTAGGCTACAGCATGCTGTAAATATACAAACCCAATTCTCAAAAAGTTGGGACAGTAAGTAACATGCTAATAAAGACAGAAAGCAGTGTTTGGTAAATTTTGTGGGACCTGTATTAAATTGAAAACAATACAAAAACACTGCACAGGGCAAAACAGAACATTTCTGTGATGAAATTATAAGTCATGAATGGCGAAAACCTCAGGGGTATTGTACATCAATACTATATAGCAAGAAAAAATATACTCAAAGCATAAAAATGCCCTTAGTGCATGTGGGTCCGCTGCTGCTGTCATGCATGGCTGTACTTATTAATACAGGAGCACACTTTAAGTTGCAGCAATGCAGTGCACGAACAGTTCCCGCTTCTGGTTTAAAATGCACCTTCGTCATGCAATTGTTGTGCTTTGATGGACAAAAAAAGAGAGAAAAGGCATCATGACCCTCAAAATGATTTACCAACATTCCAGCTGAAAGAAAAACCTTGAAAGTTACAATAAAATGACAACATAACGTCGGAAACATCAGCGACACCAGTGACAGAAACCAGGACTTTATACAAAATCAGCAGAGGCGGTATATTCCAGAGAAGCAGACTGCCGGCCAGTTTGATGGGAAATTATTATCCCTCAAAAAAGAATACAGACATACATCATCTAAACCGCATATCCTTCTGGGTCGCTGGAGCCTATCTTAGCTGTCATTGGGCAGAAGGCAGGATACACCCTGGACAGGTCGCCAGTCCATCTCAGGGCAGACAGACAGACATACACATTCACACACTCACTCACACCCAGGGGCAATTTTAGCATGTCCAATTGACCTGACTGCATGTTTTTGGACTGTGGGAGGAAACCTGCACGAACACGGGGAGAACATGCAAACTTCACACAGAAATGACCCTGGTCGCCTGGCCGGCAATCGAACCCAGGCCATTCTTGCTGTGAGGCGACAGCGCTAAAAATCTGAATAGGCAGCATTTTTCTGTTTACTGTTTTACTTTTTTCATACTGTGCTTGTTAGTCAAATAAACTAATTTAAAAAATGAAGTCATAGCATATCTGTAAATTTAGACATATGTTCGGCCTAACTGGAAAAGTTACTGAAAAATATCCACAAAACTTATTTACAGTTTTAGTTTTAGTCACTTCGAACTCTTGAAGCAGCATAAAGGAGCAAAGTAACTTAAATAAACTAAAAAACAATGAACACTTAAATTAGTTGATTTGAAGTGAAATTTTATCAGTACTGTCATGTTTACACAGGTCTGTTTCCAAACAAGTTGAGACACTGTGCAAAATGTAAATAAAAACTCACCCTTTCAAAAAAATGTCAAAAAAGTTGGGGCAGGAGCATGTCTACCCCTGTGTTGCATCACCTTATCTTTTAACAATACTCTGTAAGTGTTTGGGAACTGCAGGCAGGCAAGTTTAGCACCCAAACTCTTTTACTTCAGAGCCATGCTGTTTGAACACATGCAAAATGTTGTTTGACACTGTCTTGCTGAAATAAGCAGGGCTTTCCATGAAAAAGACATCATCTGGATGGCAGCATATGTTGCTCCAAAACCTGTATATATTGTTCAGCATTAATGGTGCCTTCACAGATCTGCAAGTCACCCATGCCATGTGCACTAAAACACCCTCATACCATCATGGAAGCTGGCTTCTGAACCATGCGCTGATAACAAGCCAGATGGCCCCTCTCCTCTTTAGTCTGGAGGATGTGGCGTCCATGATTTCCAAAAAGAATTTTTGATTCGCTGGCCCATAGGACACTTATCCACTTTGCCTCAGTCCATCTTAAATGAGCTCAGGCCCAGAGAAGGTGGCGGTGTTTGTGGATCCTGTTTATATAAGGCTTCTTCTTGCATTTGCAACTTGCATTTGTGCACTTGCAGTGATGAACTGTGTTCACAGACAGTGGTTTCTGGGAGTGTTCCTGAGTCCATGCAGTGATTTCCACTACAGAATAGTGTCTATTTTTAAAGCAGTGCTGCCTGAGAGCCAGAAGATCATGCCCAGCCAACTTCAGCCTTCTCCCTTATATGCAGAGATTTCTCTGAAGTTTTTCTCTGATGTTATGTACCATTTATGATGAAATCCCCAGGTTATTTACTATTTTACGTTATTCTCAAATTTTTTGCACTATTTGCTCATGCAGTCTTTCACAGAGTAGTGAACCCCTTCCCATCTTTACTGCTGAAAGACTCAGCCTCTCTGGGATGCTCTTTTTATATCCAGTCATGTTACTGACCTGTTGCAAATTAGCTTAATTAGTTGTGAGATATCCCACCAGATGTTTTTTACCATTAGATAACTTTACCAATCTTTTGTTTCCCTGTCCCAACTTTTTAAAAATGTGTTGTTCAGATCAAATTGAAAATGGGCATATATTTTTTAAAAAAACAATAACATTTCTGAATTTCAACACTTTACATGTTGTCTTTGTAATATTTTACATTAAATATAGGGTTTAAAGGAAGGATCCGGTCTCTGTTAACTGTGGACACAGTTTCTGCATGACCTGCATCAAGACAAAGTGGGATCAGGATGATCAAAGAGGAGTCTACAGCTGTCCTTTATGCAGAAAGAACTTCACCCCAAGACCAGTTTTGGGCCGAAACACCATGTTGGCTGCAATGGTGGAGAAACTGAAGAAGGCGCATGTTGCTGAGGAAAGCCTTGCTGGCCCTGGAGATGTGGAGTGTGACGTCTGCATCGGACAAAAACACAAAGCAGTCAAGACCTGCCTGGTGTGCCTCGCCTCTTACTGTGGGACTCACTTCAGACTTCACAATGAGCTGAACCTGGAAATAAACACAAAGTGATCAATGCCTTAAAACTTACAGACAGAGTCTGCTCGTATCATAACAAACTCAAGGAGTTTTACTGTCGTGATGAACAAAAATGTGTGTGTTCATTGTGTGCTGTAGACAGTCATCATGGTCACACCATTGTGCCAAATCATATGGAAAGGTCTGCAAAGCAAGTAAGACATTTTGGCTTTTAATGAATGCGTGTGGAAGTTTCAGCTTAGCATATTTTCTGCAAGTACATTGAACATTAGAAAGATAATAAGGTTAGGTTTTACATAAGAGTGAGGTTCAGAAAGTTGCATGAAACATAGATAAAACAACACGAGTATTTTAAAATGCTGCTTGTCAATTTTAATGTACTAACCTCACTAACTAGCCTCACTGGGTACACTGTCACATCATCAGCAATAGGCTATGTTACTCAGACATACCAGCATACACTGAGCTACAAAATCAGTTGTCATAACATGCTATGTCATTTCAAGTGCTATAACACAAGCTTATGTCAACATAAGTGCACATACATGTTTTAGTGCTCGCTGATACTAAGTTACCTACTTAGAATTAAATAGTTGTTAGTGTAAATAAGTGCAATGTATCTTAACAGTAAATGAGGTGCATTGGCTAGCTATGTTACATTATTACCTTGGATTGAGTAACATTGCAGTGGAGCAGAGTGGATTTGTTTGATGTCTGAAAAGTGCTGTATGTATGTTTCATAGTTTTGTTCTGAGGCTTCTCATCTGTTTCTTGACATGTTACATGAAACGCAGCCTGTACAGACAGCTCTGTCAACAGACAATTATCAATAAAGCTGTTTTATTCAAAATAACACACTGCGTACCGAGTACCAAGCAAACATGCTGAGAAACAGAGCAGTGCTGCTAACACTGTGCGCTAAAGCTAAAACCAGGTGGTGGTGTAGATGATATGACAACATGGTTTATACCATATTAACGTTTATACCTTGCAATTCTATTGTCAAACAGAGTAAAGTTGGCATATACGGACGTATATTTTCGCCTCTGTGTTATTAGTCTATGTGTCTCCACCCATATTGGTGAAGTGGTTGTGAACGTGCTTCTCCCAGGGTGTCAGAAGCACGTCACTGTGTGGGCAGACCCTCCTTCAGTGCCAGTTTGAGTTGTTTGTTCAATAGCACGGCAGCTTACACTCAGTTTACTTTACATTGTATTCCAGTTTTTTTCTAATCGAATGTTGGTATTGGTGCATTTTTATGAGGTTGAGTATAAGTAAATGAGCACCCAGTATCTGTCCCAGTATCATTATAAATGCATTCCTACATAAATCTGTCAGTTGGCAAAGTTGTTAGGTCAGCTTGAGCTGAAAAAGGCTGAATAAAGAAGGCTTTATGACAGTTGATACCAGTAGGAATAAGCCTTTATATTGT